TGGGGGCCGCGCCCGACCGCTTCCCGGCCGACCTGGACCTCGACATGTTCAGCGGGAGCCTCGAGTGCGACGTCGAGTCCATCATCCTCAACGACTTCATGGACAGCGACGAAATGGACTTCAACTTCGACTCGGCCCTGCCTCCGCCGCCGCCTGGCCTGGCCGGGGCCCCGCCCCCCAACCAGAGCTGGGTGCCGGGCTGAGGGCCGCCTTCCCTCGCCCCCGGGCGCCCCGCCCCGCCCCCAAGGGGCTTCTGTCTTCCCGTCCTGATCCCCTGGGCCCCATCCCCATTCCAGCTTCACGGGGTGGGGTGGGGTGGGAGGATCCGGGAGGCAGCCCCAGGTCTGCTAGAGAAGTCCCTCAGAAGTTTACCCCTGAGGGAAGTGGTAGGGAGGGGCTGGGGCACCTGCCATTCGTGCCCAAACTCCTGAGACCCGCTCCACCTCCCTCCTGGGGCAGGAAGCCTGGGCGGAGGGGAATTTCGGGCTGGGTGGGAGTGGGGACCAGCCAGGCGGGCTGCTCTGGTCGGCGATGCCAACCGGGAGATGTGGCACGGGGCCAGAGGTGGTCTGAATCTTCGTTTCATTTGTGAGGGCCGCGACGGATAGCCCACCCCAAACTCCAATCTGATTCCCAACTCACACCTTCCCACTGGTCTTAGCCCCACCCACTCAAGCCAGGAACCCCCTCCCGAAAACACTCACACCTACCTATTGGCTGTTCACCCTGAGCTGTTTCCCTTTAGCCCTAAGCCACCCTTAGAGCCCCCATACCCATGATTCAGCCCCTCCCTCCTATCCCTGCAGGCCCTAACTTCTCCTCTCCTCTCCTCTCCTCTCAGGTTCGAGTCACCCCCCGCCCCACTTTCCCCTGCCCCCAGTACTGGTCTCAGCCTCTCCAGCAGGTCTCAGCTCCGGATCCACCCCCCAAACCAACACCCCTTTCTCCGTTCCAGTCCTGCCTCCTCTCCCGTATTTATAAGTGTCCGGTCGGGGCGGGCTGTGGGCGCGGCGTCCCCGGCGCATATCGTAGGCAGTGTACCGTGGCCGTGCCGTCAGCGTGTGCGTGTGCGTGTGTGCCGTGTCGAGGCCGTGTAGAGTGCATTGTACAGCATATTTTCATGAATAAAATTGTTTTAAATATTTCCCGCGCCTTGGGCTAGCAGGGGTGGTGGTGGCAAAGGAGGATAATTGGCAGGAATCGTTGCGGGAGGGGGGTTGTCCCTGTGCCTGAGCCCCTATTGTGGTTTTGTGTCTCAGTATATGTCAGCGTTCACTGATGCCTGTCTGCTCAACACACATTGGTTAAGCGCCTACTGAGTTCTGGACGCTGGCAATGTGCCTGTGTGGAGCTCTGCACCTGTTTGTGTGAACATATGCATGCAGGAAGTTTCTGGTTTGGGGAAATTCTGTCCTGAATACATAAGCCTGAGAGGTTGGGAGAGAAGGCACAGATATTCATTGAGAACCTGTTCGTGTCGGGTCCTGCATTAGGTATAATTTTTGTTCCCATTGTACAGATGAGAGAAGAGGACCTGAGAGGGAGAATGGTTTGGGAAGGCCTGTTGGGATAATGGAAGGGAGGCCTTTGGAGGCACACAGACTTCTCTTTGAATCTGCTCCCTGCCACTTGCCAGCTCGGTGACCATGAGCAAGTTTTCAACCTCTGTAGCCTTACTTTCCTGGTCTAGACCACAGGGAGTAGCATCCCAGAAGGTGGATTTCGGCTGAGGAGGAAATGAGGAAGGTATGTAAAGCGCTCAGCCCTGCACTCATTCATTCATCCATCCATGGAAGCTTCCGTGGGCATCTTTATTTTTTACTTTTCCCTCACTTCCCCATAGTGAGTGCCTTTAAGTGCCAAGGTCTTGCACCGAGCATTGGGACTGCCAGAGAGAGCATCATAGGCACAATGTCTGCCCTCAAGTAACTTAGAGGCTCAAGGGGACACAAGTGAGGAAACAGGAGATTATCGATCTGTGATGAATGGAGAGACAGGCTGTGCGAATGAATGACCCTGCCGCACCTGTCCCGGGCTTGAGGCATCGGGCGGTACCTGGAGGGGGTGCTGTCTCAGCTGAGCCTTGAAGAGTGAGTTGGCATTGGGAAGGGAAGGGATTCAGACAGAGAGGGAATGGCATGTTCAGAGGCCCAGAGTCGAGATCACGTGGGTTCCAGAACCAAAAGCAGTTTAGTGTGGCCAAAGCTCCGAGATGGAGAGATTACTGATGGTGGAGAGGCAGATGGGCCAGAAGAGGGAGAGGATCGGTGACCGGGCCAGCGGTGCTGTTGGTGACTCAAACCAGGAGGGATCGGGGAGCGCAGTGCGGGGGAGAAGGGGAAAGGATGAGTTCCCATAAGTTTTGGATAGAGAATCATTGGGACTGGTTTGGGATTGGACACAGGGGGTGAGGGAGAGGGAAGAGTGAAGAGGTGTCTGGTTTCTAGTTGGGCACTGGACAGATAGGGCCATTCCCTGAGAATCGAGGCAGGAGGAGCCCAGGGGAAGGTGGCGTGCCCAGCCTCAGACAGGCTCCATCTGAGTTAGATTCTATGGAAGCCTTGGGATTTGGGAGGGTTGTTCAGCACTGTGTCCACTGTGTGAATGGCAGTCCCTGGCACTGGGCAACATGGTGGATGGGGATGTTCAGCTGGCTCGTGGAGTCAGAAACCCCGGAGAGGGAAGAATCAAGAGCACAGAGGTTTGTCACGGAGATGTTAGGAGTGGCTTGGGGGATGGTGCTGAGTGGGAAGAGCAGGGCGGCCCCAGGGCTGCTCCAGGGAACACCTAAGAACACGTTGGCACAGGAGGAGGAACCCACTGGCTGGGAAGGAGCAGCCGAAGGGAGAGAAGGAGGAAACCCAGGACACTGAGCTCCTAGAGTGTGAGGAGGGCGTGGCCCTAGAAATAATGCCTAGTGCTCTTACCTTTGGGAGCCTCACTTTCTTGGTCTGGAAGTTGGGGTAGACGCACCTGTCTCAGACCCATTTTGAGGAGTGAACAAGATTGGAATTATTCTCTGAGGTCATACTTCCGGCAAGGGGCAGAGTAGGGGTCTTGCCTACACTGTGTACCTCCAACGCCCAGGCTTTCCCGTGGCCCCCACTGCTTCTGGGCACTGCACCCACCGAGCTCGGAGCCAGGAGAACCTTTACAGGTCCTGGGCTAAGGGGTGGGGGGGGGGCAAGACCTCACTGTGGGGTGTGCTGGCTGTCCTCACTGGGTCGGCAGCCTATAGAGGCTGATGGACTATCCCTTGGGACAGATGCCCCAGCCCCAGCCCACAAGCAGACTCCAGGAGAGCCCAGCTGAGTCTGGGCTCCATATGGGCTGCAGAGCTGCCCCCACCCCGAGCTGATGGAGGGTGGGCTGCTGGTATGCGTGTGCAGGTCTGTGTGTGTCCATGTAGCCCCATAGGCATCGGTGTGGGCCTGTGTGCATGCATGCTGGGTGAGGGGCAGGCTGGGTGATGGTTGGTGTCTCCCTGTCTGTGCGCATGCCTGAGTGAGCTTGTGTGTGTGTGTGTGTGTGTGTGTGTGTGTGTGTGTGTGTGTGTTGGGAATTACAGCGTATCCATCTCCCAGTGTGCCCACATGTGCGCCCGGGGCTATGGAGTCTGTGCACTGCATGCTTCCCTCTCTGGGTGTGTCTGCTGTCTTGGCACATACCTCTCTCTGGGTGCACCAGAGAGAGGTGGTAGCCTGCCAGGAGCGTCTTCTGGGCTGCTCTGCTGGGGGAGGGTTGGGGAGGGAAGCATCGGGACACTCCCTACCCTGGGATGGGGCCAGGCTCATGAGCAGGGAGCAGCGAGACCACCTCAGAGTAAAGACGCCTCTGCCAGGCTCAGGCCAGTGGAATTCCAGAGCCAGCGTCTGTCCTGCTGGGCCCCCTCAGGAGAAAGGGGACAACGCCCCTGCAGCTGGGGGGCTGCAACTGGCCCTTCTCTGCCAGCCTTGGAGCCCAGCAGACGCGCCCCCCTCCATGCCCACTCCCTGGGAGGCGTCTGACACATGATTTATTCATAAAAAGCCATTATTTGTGCCAAAGAACTGAGCCGCTGCTTTTTAAGTGCTGATAATGCTCTCGGCCTCCTTGTCTCTCCACCCCCCACCTCCTGTCTCTCTCCTCTCTCTCTCTCACCTTCTTGGGGCTTCCCATCCTTTCTCCTCCCCTTTTCTCCCCGCTTCCCTCACCTCCCTTCCTATTCCTGTATTGTTCTCCTCACCTCTTCTCCCATTTCTTCATTCTCCCCCCATCACCCCACTCACCCGCTCCACAATTAGGGGAATCAGGCAGGGCGGCTAGAGGCTCAGAACCAATTGTCCCGGACTGGGGAGGCCAGCCTGGAGTCCAGGGCTCCCCACCCTCCACCTCAGTCTTCACCTCTTCGGGACTAGGGCAAGGCGGGGAGGAGGAAAAGCCTGCTGGGAAAGGCAGGGGGAGGGTCTGCGGAGGCTGTCATAACCAGCTCCCCCTATGCTAAAGGCCATGACTTTAGCCCCCCCATTAGTCGCCCCAGCCTCCCAAAGAAACATTCAATCTCAAGAGCAGTGCCCTTGCTATGCAAATGCAGATTCTTGGCAAGCTCTGTGGGCCTTGTGCCCCCCTCCCCCCACCCTTGTGGCCCCTAAGTGCCCCGTGGAGAAATTCTAGAGCCACCATTACTCAGGCAGTGCCAGGAGATCCTGGCATCAAGGGCGGCACTTGGGGTCCTGTCACTGATCGCCCTGTGTGCAGACAGGAGGCAGCAGAACGAGTATCACAGATGTGAGCGTGGATGCACACTCACACAAGGTTCTTAGAAGCAGACATCACAGATCCACGTGTGTGCGCCCTCATGCTCGCACGTGCACACACGCAGGCATGCACACAGCCACACACCTACTCATGCAGACGGAGAGTCATTCCTCCCCTGAGCACCTGCAGCGGGGGCTGAAACTCTTTCCCCATTCAGGTCCCCGTTCGTTCGTTTGTTCGCTCACTCGCTCAGTCATTCATTCACTCATTCATTCATTCTTTCAACTTTACTTTCGCACCCGCACTGTGCCGGCACCAAGGCTGGGCACTGGGGTGGCAGAAATGAACATGACTGGGTCACAGGGAGGGGAACTGGAGCAGAGGGGCCACTGCGCCCCACCCCCAGCAGCCTTGGGCTGGGGGTTAAGCGCCCAGCAGGCAAGGGGTTAAGTCATTTGGCATCCAGAGCTGGAGCCATTAGGCCTCCTAATTATGAAATTATCGAGGTCCTCAGGTGACTGCTAATTTCACACACACTGTTCCTCTCACGGCTAATGAACGCCCGCAGAACCCACGCCTCGTCTTTCCTGCTGAACAGTGACCTGCAGTTAATGAGCTCAGGAAGGCAGACAGGCCACCGGCTGGGTGGGTGGGGCGCCAGGCCTGAGGAGGGGGCCCGAAGAGGGGCTTCGGGGCCCAAACCCAGCCGGCGGTTTGCAGGACTGGCTAGGCCAGGGGCCGGAGGAAGCAGGGAGAGATGCAGACCTGGGGAGGGCTTCAGGTTGTGCGGTCCTGGCAGGAACACGGTGGAGGGTGGGGGCAAGCAGAAATGGGTCGTAAGTGGTGGGGAGGCGAGAGCCTTTCTGCTAGGTTCTGGGCCCCATCAGGGTTTAAGGGCCGGCCAGGAGCAGCAAAGCTTACGAGGTGGGAATTGGTGGCAGTGGGGGGGGGGGGGGCACAGCACAGTCCTCCCGTGAGGCGGGGGGGGGTGATGACTCTGGGGGCTGGCAGTGCTAATGGTGAGATAGCAATGCCGCTGGTTATGATTTCTAAAGTTTTGATTTTTTTTGTTAAATTAAAAATGTAACGCAGAAAATTACCCTGCAAAATCTGAATGAAGAAAGAAAAAGTAACACACCCTGCTTGCAATCTTAGACGGGGGCAGTGCCAGAGCCCAGGTCCCTTCTCCCTGGGGATGCAGTGGACCCTTCAGGCTGAAAACCAAATAGGTTCGAAGGCCCTACGACCTGCCCACGGGGAGGACCCTGCCCAACTCGTGGCCCACCAGCCCGATCAATGCCAACTGAGTGGTGCAGCCGCGAATGAGGAGAGCAAGGGGGTGACAATCGTGGTCTGGGCCCAGGGTCCTCTGTTCTAGCTTTTTCCTATCCTGTAGCCTTGAGCAAGT